ACCCTGAGCTCGATCTGGGCTTCGATCGTGGCCCTCGACCCTGAGCTCGATCCGGGCTTCGATTTCTGGGCAGAAGCAATTTCCAACATAATGAAATTGCAGCAGCTGTTCTAGTTCAATTTTTGATTTGTTAACCATCAGAAACTCACCCGAGGCCCTCGGGACCTCAACCAAATATATCAACAAGTCCTAAAATATCATACGAACTTGGTCGAATCCTCAAATCACCTCAAACAACGCTAAAATCATGAATTACACCCCAATTCAAGCCTAATGAACGTTGAAATTTCTAATTTCTACAAACAACTCCGGAACCTATCAAATCACGTCCGATTGACCTCAAATTTTGCACACAAGTCCTAAATGACATAATAGAGGTATTCCAATTTTCAGAATCGGATTCCGACCCCGATATCAAAAAGTCAACCCCCCGGTCAAACTTCTCAAAAATAAAACTTTCGGCATTTCAAGCCTAATTCCTCTACGGACTCCCAAATAATATTCCGGACACGCTCCTAAGCCCAAAATCATCATACAGAGCTATTGGAATCATCAAAATTCAAATTCGAGGTCGTTTACATATATGTCCATATCCGGTATACTTTTCTAACTTAAAATTTTCAATTATGAGACTAAGTGTCTCATTTCACTCCGAGTTCCTTCCGGACTCGAACCAACTAACCCGATATAACATAATATAGCTGAATAACACAAAAAGAAGTAGGAATGGGAAAAATAGGGTTATAACTCTCGAAATGACCGGCCGGGTCGTTACAACGGTAGAACTCATTCACAAGGAATAACCACAGTAAAGAATGCTAGGCACAAGGAGAACAACTTAACAAGGGAAAACAAAACAAAAAATGTAGCAACGATTCCACAATATTTAAGTCAACAATAAGAAGCCAACACGAGTCAAATAGTTTAAAAAAAAATGGCAAGTCAACTAAGATATAGGTTATCTAGACTCCTTTGAGGTTGAGCAATTACGAGGAATATTCAACAATTCAAGTAAGGATAAGCAGCGGAAGATAATCATAACTCCAATTAAGACTAAACAATTATAGGATGAGAAAAATAATGATTTCAGTTTAAGATAAACAGTTATGAAAAATATAGCACGACGATAGAAGAGGTAAAGTCTTTGGTTAAGTCGAATAAGGGTCAAATAGACAGTAAGAGTGAATCCTAAAGCAATTATCTCTAATCAAAGCATGTAGAGGTGAAACTAGCAAATAGGAATTCAAACGTATCAAAAACAACATCATACCCGGTGAATATATGGACATAAGAACCCTAAAAGTCCAACTTTCCACAAATAAGTCCGAACACGCACTCGTCAGCTCGCGTACACAGACTACAATCAACATAGATGACTCAAATCCTAAGGGGTAGTTCCCCCACATAAGGTTAGGCAAGATACTTACCTCAAACTGCGCTCAATCAGTCAAGTAGTATGCCCTTTCCTCGATTTTTCGACTCCGATCGGCTCAAATCTAGTCATAATTAATTATATTCAATCAATACAAATTGTAGGAATAAATTCCATTTGAAAATATAAATTTTCTACAAAAATCCGAAATTTAACCCAAACATCGCCCATGGGGCCCACGTCTCGTAACCCGACAAAAGTTACAAAATATGAACGCCCATTCTGATACGAGTTCAAACATACCAATTTTATTCAATTCCGATAACAACTCGACCTCCAAATCTTAAATTGAATCAAGAGGGTTTTCACAAATTTTTTAACTTAATTCACCGATTAAATGTTAAACATAACCATGGATTCGGGTAATTTAACCAATATTGAGTCAAGAATACTTACCCCGTTGTTTTCTCTGAAAATCTCCCAAAAATCGCCTCATCCCGAGCTCCAATCCGTCAAAAATGGAAAATGGGACGAAGTCCCATTTTCTGAACTTAAACTCACTACACAAGTTTTTCTTCTTCACGTTCGCGTGACCAGTGTCGCGTTCGCGAAGGCCTGACCATGCACAGCATCGCGTTCGCGGTAGCCAACTGCCCTCCTTCTTCGCGTTCCCAGTCCATGCTTCGCGTTCGCGAAGGGTTAATGGCTCAAGGTCCCGACTCCCCTTCCTTCTTCGCGTTCACGACCACTGTGTCGCGTTCGCGTAAGCTTGACCAGACCTTGCCTCGCGTTCGCATCCACTCCTTCGCGTTCGCGAAGGTCAAATCCAGCACCCCCAAAATTTCTTCTTCGCTAACGCGGGACTTTCTTCGCGTTCGCGAAGAAGGAAACCAGACACCAGAATCAACAATTCCAAAACAACTCCAAATGATCCGAAACCACCCTGAAACACACCCGAGGCCCCCGGGACCTCAACCAATCATACCAACCAATCCCATAACACATTACGAACTTGCTCGAGGTCTCAAATTACATTGAACAATACTGGAATTACGAATCGCGCATCGAATCGAATTATAAGTTTTCAAATCTTTCAACTTCTATATTTTGCGCCGAAACGTATCAAATCAATCAGTAATGACTTCAAATTTTGCACACAAGTCATAATTGACGTAAGGGAGGTATTCCCATTTTCTGAATCGAAATCCGACCTCATTATCAAAAATTCACCCTTCGGTCGGACTTTTTTCCAAAATCTTATAATTTTCAACTTTCGCCAAAATGTGTCGAATTGTCCTACGGACTTCCAAATCCGAACATACGCCTAAGTCCGAAATCATCATACGAAACTATTGCCATCATCCAAATTACATTCTAGGGTCGTTTGTTTAAAAGTCAACTCTCCGGTCGACTCTTTCCATTTAAGCTTCTAAATAAAAAAAAATTCTTTAAATTAAATTCCGAATCTTCCGAAAACCAAACTCGACCACACACGCGGGTCATAATACATATTGTGAAACTTCTCGAGACCTTAGGTCACTGGACAGGACATAATTTCTTAAAACGACAAGTCGGTCGTTACATGCACCATGACGGCGTAGTAAGCTAATTGAGCCAACTAAAGAATGACAAGATGAAATTCCAAACTTTGCAGGCCAACTTAATTGTTCCAAATGAAATTGGAAATTGTTGCTTACAACTTCCATCAATTCTTTGATCTTAGCAAGGAAATTCGTTCAAGCAATTTTTTATTTATTATATCAACCACCTCTTCAAAAAATTACAGATGTGCACAAGGTAAATAAAAGCAGGTTTTATACAATGTGGCACCATGTGCGGTTTTAAATTTTCATCATTCTATATATTCCTATGGGTTCAACAATGTACAGTGCAATTTTGAAGAAATATCAATATATTTATGTGGCAGAATGAATTATATAACAACAGACTATACCCACAGTTACAAAATTTCTCACAATCTACAATGTTGTATTGGAAATTAGCCGTACTTCATATAGTGCATCTTTCTCTCCCTTTGCTGCAGGAACAAAGTTATGAAAGTTAGTGCAAACAAGTCCAATTTGGAAGTCTTACAAGTTCAACAAAAAAGTAAAACTTCAGAACTAACCAATTTCAGCTGATATTCCTGGTCCAAAGAAGGACGCAAATTTTGCCTACCAAGATTTAAGCAGATTAGAATGTAAGTTTTAGAACCATATGGATGAGATGGAGGTAATTACAGTATTATTATGTCACCTGTCTTTTTTCAAGATCTGACAACTGCAGAGCTTTTGCCTCAAAGACCAGCACTAGACAGTATTTACCATCCTCAGTCACCTGAATTAGAATAAAATTAGTTGCTGAAATTAAAATTCAAAGGAAAACGAGCTTGACAATACTCAATAAGCAAAAGGCCGTTTGCAAGCGACATGATTTACTTAAGTTTGTTTATGTGATGGCTTCTAAGGACAGTGACCAAAATCCACAAACATTTTTAGCGAACGCCAAATAGCAACTGAGCCCTCGGGGATTTGGTCTAGTAGTAAGAACAAAATGAGTGATGTGTGGGTTAGGCGCGTGTCGCGAGTCCAAACTCTATCACGGACAAAAGCATGGTATTTAAGTGGAGTAGGGTAGAGATGCAGACTCATTACCCACTAGAAAAAAAGAAAAGAATCTGCCAAGGTCCAAACAGAGTGGAATTGTAGGATCCACTGAGATTTCATATTTTTGGGAGGGAGGATAATTCATAAAATCTAGAAAATATAGATAGTCTAATAGGTGACAAAAGCAATGTTAAAAAGAAAAACAGAAAGTAAGCAACATAGATAAAGGAACTACTCGGCATATCATTTCATAAGAGGAAGCAAATTATTAATTAGAAACATAATCAAGTTCACGAGCATACTTCTTCTCGAATCATTTGTAAGATGGGAGCACTTCTACGTGGTATTCCACCACCCTGCAATGAAAAGAGAAAAGGGAAGAGTAGTCAGAAAATTTTATCAAGAGAAACATTTGGATGTCTAAGACCTAAGGTCAATAGATTGAATCTATTAAAGACGTTCATTCTAGTTCCCAAAGATTTTGTGTCTATTACACTTAAAAAAGTGCATCACTGTCAGAATTGGGGAATAAATCGTTGATATGTCACGGTGATATGAAGCTGCTAGAAGGTAAGAGCAGATGGAAGACAAGCTCATGCATAAACCAAAAGAAAGAAGGAAAAAGTTCACGGAAGTTTGAGGATGCACTTGATGATTTTCAAACTTCAGTAACCGGATACATAATTTATTCTTTTACAGGCTTTGAGTCGATGGTTAAACCCTCCTAATAATATTCCTGAAAATTGATTACGATAGGAAGATGACATCATTGCAACTAGTATTGAGATAACTTCTTTTCTCTAAATTCCATCAATTGATGAACTTGCAAGAGTGTATTTGCCTGCTAACTATTTAAGCATAAAATTTCTAGAAGGCTTCTTGGAGACCCAAATCAATCACCTTCACAGTGCGGTAAAAAGTTTCTAAAGAATCTTTCAAAAGGAGAAAGAACGTTGTCTTGATACAGAGTTTCTGGATTTGGCAGATTCTTAGAGATTAAAACTCATACATAAAGAACTGGGTATCTATTCTTGCTAATTATAAAATAGCCATGAGAAAGTTCACTGCTCAAGCTGCATGGCATGATGAAAATAATTCAGTTATGTAAATAACTATTAGAATGCAAACACAAATATTTATATCTTTAACATTTCCTTGGCGGGGGCATAATTTTCCCCTATAGATGAAGCACGTGTGAGATCGACAAGTTCTGAGGTGGAGATGAAACATCAACGTAAGACTCCCTTTTGCTAGGAGTATTATTTTCCATTGAGTTATAACGCTCACATCATTCAAAGATCAAAGTAATTAGAAAGGGACCTATCATATATTTTTGTTTATACTTTCACCAGAAAATCCAAGGTGTTCGCTTCTCATTTAATCTCCCATCCTTTCATGCTCTTTTTTAAATTTCTCTTTTTCTTTTTTTTAAGGTACTTCGTTTTTTGATGAGATCCACAGCTATGAAATTGACAGCCTTTCTGGAAAATTTCTCATACCGCTCAAGTTAAATCTCCATTCCAAGAAAATCCGCCAAAATTTAATCTGAATATTTAAAAAATCAGTTTGTAAAACACAAAATTAAGGGAACTTACCAGTCCAAATTGGAAAATACGCTTCAATGCCTCGTCCAAATGCTGCTCATCCCCATAACGGTATCTTATCACATCGCTCCTGACCTTACAGAAAGAAAATCCTATAACTAGTTAGTCAGTAATCTGAGAATGTAACCATACTGAATATGAAATAACTGAAATGAAATCCGGGAGTACAGTCAAAAGAAGTATTAGTAGCAAATGACCAATATCAAACATTGGCATTTTGCCTCATTTTTATCGCAGTAGAAGAATCCTATAAGGAATTGCAAAAGCATGACTTGACCCAGTGATATGCGACAAGTTACCAAGTGTATCTCAATATGAATCTCCAAGTCTGTGGTTCATGCTTATTATGATAAGAATAGCACATATATATCATTCAGTGTTATTTCGGGGAACATTAAGGACCACAGTTACATTGGTCTTCTGGGAATAGAAGAGAGAAATTTTTTTTATTAAGAGGAGCAAAGATGGACTCGCTGTAATAATTGTGTAGCCCAAGGTTCGATAAACTGTGTATTTTTCACAATACTAAACACTATTGTAGGGCTGTTGGAAAAGAAAAGGAGGATGCTTAACTTGAAAAGAGACTATTATCTTTGACTTCTGAGTATCACAAACTTTTGGCAGATTAACGATACTAAAATTACACGACTTCGCAAAAAAGATTGGAGCTTCTTGGTATGGATTAACATGCTAAGAAAACCATCGAGTAACAAAAGGGCTTTCCGGTAGTCGACAAGAACATTACCTGCTTAAGGATTGGAGTAGCACATTTTTCCCTGAGTAGTTGAGCATCTGAGTACGTTATGCATGGCACAGGCTTGAGCTCTGCATACTAAAAAGTAAAAGAGAGTCAGTTTTCCAGACGAAATAGATTTCTATGCCAGAATCACCAATGTTACGGACTAAAGGTGTGTCCCCACATTCATGTATTGATAACAGAAAGATATTCATCAATGAATTAAACAACCGTTGATAGAACATAGACTCCCAGAAACACGGTTGTTCAATACTAAGAGCCTAGGCCTTATAACTCCAAAGAAGCAGGTCAACAAAAGGAGAAGTAAATCACCTTAAGAGCCATGCCAATTATAGTAAGTGGGAAACCATAAGTCAACATCAATGCAGACCACTCGGAACCAGGAAGGATGTTAAAATATGCCCCAAATCCGTACCTGTAGAGTGTAATGAACAATAGAACAGTCAAAGTAGCCTTAATGCCAAATTTATTGTGTCCAAAATGAGAAAGCAAGAAAGGGAAAGTGCCTTCAATAATCTCTTTTCTTTGCTATGAAACTATAAGGGGAGAGAAAAAACAAAACAAAACAAAAAAAACTAAAGAGCGTGGGCATTTATTAAAAAAAAAACAGGACAAATATAAAAGCCTATACATACATGTAGAGTTCTTGATCAGAGGAAATTACGGAAAGAGTATAGAACAACAACAACAGCAGCAACAACAACTACACCCAGTCCCATACAAGAGTACACTAGAATAAATTGCTCTATTTTTAATCTAATCCTAAACAACTTAACAGTTATCCTTCAAAAGGATTTTGAGACATTACCATAGATTTTAGTTATAGATATCAAAAGATAGTGATGAAGAAAGCAACTCAATAACATGTAACCAAGAAAGAATAATACATAGTTATTATATGTGTTTGTTATTTTAAAATCATTGTTAACCAAACTTTCGACATTCATTAAACATTTATGATTTAAAAAAAAAAATCTGACTCTCCTTCGTCATTATTACGGTGTGATATGAACACATATGCAAACTAATATCTGTTAAAAGATTTGTCGGTGAATGTCAAATATTTGGGAGGCAAGAACTACGGATTGTGGAGATTGACTTGCATCCCCCTCCTTTCCATAGAAGTATTACTTTGTAAATTTGGACAACCAGGAAGTAAATAGTATAAAGCTTGATCAATTAATTATACTCACGAGAGAAGTGAAACACCAAGACCAAGCCCAATGACACCAAAAGAAACCTGCATATTACAGCAATTACAGAGAAAATTATTGACAAATCCTTCAGGACCAGTAGATTTAAAGGAAGTAAGAGATATTGATATCGTATAAAACATATTTAGGGGTACGTTCATTTTAGTCAAAATCAAATGTTTCACTAGCTCAAGTGATAATCCAGTATTACAGGACCCAGCAATTTGAGTGTACGAGGATTAGTAATGCAATCTTTCTTAATGACATCAAAGGCGAAAAACGAAGAAAAGTCCAAGTTCATATGGGCTTTAACATAAAAAAAGGCACAACAAAATCGTGAATTTTATTAAAGAAAAACACATAATAAAACAAAATAATAATAATTTATATAGAGTAAGAAAAACAACTTAAACACAACAACAGTGATATAGATAAAGGTATTGAAAAAGCTACAACTCAAATAAATACTCCCTCCACTTCATCTTATATTAACGGTGTTTGATTGGGCACAGAGATTAACGAAGAAAGAACTTTCGGCTGTTCGGCACATAAAAAACTATCCTTGTGGTTTTAAACATGCCACGACATTTCCATATGGCTATAAGTGCAAGTCAATAAGAGTAAAATGAGAAGTTTCGCGTGAAAGAGTTTCTAAATATAGAAATTTGTCTTTCTTTTTGGACAAATTAAAAAGGAAAGAGTGTCATATAAAAATGAATTAGAGAGAATATATAGATACAAGTCAAGCTAAAAATCGTCTTAAATTTCTAATGGAAAGAAAAGTATAAGATTTCTAACTCAAAATCTAGTTACTAGTTGTTTTGCACTAAATTCAAATTTACTAGTCCTACTCCTTGACCTCTTCTTCATATGTTTTCTTAACACCTGATGTACTCCCTCCATTGCATTTCATATAGCATGTATGACTAGACAAAATTTCAGATGTTAATTAACCGACTTACAGATTATCTTAGTGGAAGTTAAAGAAAATATTTATTAAACAGTTGTTAGTTTCATAGATGAAACATCAGAACAAAATTTAGAATTTGAATAGTGAATCACTGAAAGCTGTGAGGAAGTTGTATAAAACAATATCATTAGCGGAATAGTACTAAAAAGGGCAGCCCGTGCATAAAGTATCCTGCGTACCCTAACGCAAGGGTCAGTGCCGATTCCACAGCTCGAACCCGTGACCTACAGGTCACACGGAGATAATCCTACCATTGCTCCAAGGCACCTATCTATTAGTGAAATAGACACTATCAAAACATTTTAGAACCTCCCATAATAGAAAAGGGTGTTAAACAAATTAAAACGGGGGAGTATCATTGTGCCAACTATATTTATCATTCACGCGACACTTTTCAAGACAGATCCAAAGAGCCTCTATAAATCAAAAGTCCCTTTGGTGGGGAAAAAAAGGGAATAGTGAAAGCACAGTTGGGAGTTCCTATCGATGAAAAAGACTACAATAACAACAACTATGTTTTGATCCCTAACTAGCTAAGCATAGGTGGGAGTTGGTATCGATGAAAAAAACTACAATAAACAATAACTATGTTTTAATCCTAAATAAACTAGCTAAGCATAGGTGGGAGTTGGTATCGATGAAAAAAGTACAATAAAAAATAACTATGTTTTAATCCTAAACTAGCTAAGCATAGGTGGGAGTTCCTATCGATGAAAAAAACTACAATAAACAATAACTATGTTTTAATCCCAAACTAGCTAAGCATAGGTGGGAGTTCCTATCGATGAAAAAAACTACAATAAACAATAACTATGTTTTAATCCCAAACTAGCTAAGCATAGGTGGGAGTTCCTATCAATGAAAAAAATTACAATAACAACATCTATGTTTTGATCCCAAACTAGCTTGAGCCTGGCGGCTATACGAATCCTCAATAATCATTCCGCTCCATTTTGGCCTTTTTCCTCCCAATTTTCTTCCATGAAAGAAATTAATCAAAAAGAATTTAACTTCTATTACCTAACTAACATCTTGTTTGGATGGTTGTTACATGTTGTATTGTATTGTATCGTATTGTTACTTTAAATACAATACTATACGATACATTATGAAACTATATATAACAACCATCCAAACAAGCTCTTAACGATAATTATAGGTAAACATCAAGGATTAGTAAACTACAAAAAATAAGACTGGATTAACTGCTACACATGTTAAAATACTTTGATAGTGTAAATTATTTTACAGTGTCAGTATACAAAAGTTAAATTCAATAGAAAAACTATAAAAAAGAAAAGAAAAGGAAAGCACCTTGGCAAGTGAAAACTCTTCATCGGGGACAATAGATTTGTCGGAGGAAGTAATAGCAGAGGAAGATGGCTGAGAGGAATCAGCAGCTCTAGTAACAACCTTAAGTCGAAGAATAGGAAGATTCTGGTGTTTTGTCAAAATTGAATCTTGATTAGTAAAAGTGGTCAATTTGTGTACAAGTACTGATTTCAATGCCAAAGCTCGATTATTTTGGGCATGATTTTTTTGAGTGTAATTACAAACTACAAAACTAAAACTCTGAGAACAGAAGAGGGTTCCTCCAGCTCCCATGGCTGCTACAATTTTGGGTAGAGGATATTATGAGTTGGAGGACAAGAAGAGGCTGTAGTGCAAATAGAAAAGCTAGCGCCAAATGTTTGGATGATGATGATGTGGCAATTTTTCTACTTCTAGTTCTAGTTTATACGAAGTACTATTTCTTTTATAACCACACTTAAACTTTTTGTACTAGTTGTAGTAGTATTATGACCACAAAATCTATTAAACATTAGGGGGTTGGCTGACGTGAGCCAACATTAAAGAAATTCTTTAATAATAGTCCCAAGATTAAGTTCTTTAATGAATACTTTTGCCAAGAAATGGCCGTGTTTGACTAATCAATTTCCAAAATATTTTTGTTAATACTGGGGTATTTTTATTTGGCCAAGGTTCCAAAAGTGTTTTTGAAAAAAAAACTACTCTACCTTTTTAGCTTTTGAAAAATAACTTTTGCTACTATACAAAATCACTTTTTTTTAATTTTATTAAAAACTTAGTCAAACAACTCAATTCTCTAAAATAAATACTACTTTTTTTGAAAGAAAACAGGCTATAAATTTGGTTTTGTTTAATCGTCATTTGAAAAATTGATCCGAAGGAGAAAGCTATTGAGGAAAAGCCTCGTTTAATGCGTTTCAAGTGAGAATCTATTCCATTAATGGGATCAATTATTTGTTGTGGTAATGTGAAATTTTGACTCACGAGTCTAGTCATTTCAACCAAGTACAGATAAGGAAAGACAGTTAATTCGTGCACGAAAACATGACAATAGTATGACACACATGTACTTACTTATTTTTGTTGTATTTGTTGATTTGCATCCTATATGAGACATTACATTGAGGTAACAACACCTCAAAAAAGTGTGAATATTACGTCAGTTGTGAAATAGTGACTTTAAAGAACTGCCACAATAAGCAAGAAATTGCAGTGGTTCTAAAACATCCATATTTAACATTCTTATAATTTGGAGGTTTTGTGAATATTGCATCTGGTTTAAACTGCCAGTGTTCTTATTTAAACTAATATTCGTACTCGCGCGTTGCACGAAAAATATAAAATATAACATTTGAAAAGAAAATTTTATTTGGAATTTTGTTACTATTGAGCCTATACATTGACAATTGGAAGGAAGTATGAGATCACCGAGAACAAAGGTAGAGCTTTCATTTTATAATTTCTATTCTCGGCATCGACAGTAGTAGCAGATGTCGTAATTATAAATAATACTTTCTCCGTTTCAATTTAGATGAGATAGTTTGACTCGGCACGAAATTTAAAGAAAAAAAAAAGACTTTTGAAACTTGTGGTGTTAAAAGTTTATGGGGTAAAAGTTTTGTGGGCCATAACATTTATGTGGTTATAAAAACTTCTCATTAAAGGTAAAATTGGTAAAATTAAGAGTTTAAAGTTGAATTATTTTCAAATTTAGAAATATGTCATTTGTTTTGGAACAGACTAAAAAGAAAAGTACCTCGTATAATTTGAAACGGAGGGAGTAGTATATAATAATCGGAAAAGGACCAAAAATGCCCTTGAACCATCTGAAATAGCTCAAAAATGCCCTCCGTTTGTTTTTGGTAACAAAAATATCCTTGTCGTCTATTTTTTGGACCACAAATGCCCTTAAACTGTTAGTCTTGTCATTAAAGGTGACATGTCAGTCCAACTAGGTTAGATTTGCTTACATGGCCATCCACCTAAGCAATCCAACATAGCAAAATTATTTTTCCGATTTTGTTTTTAAAAATACAAAATCAACACTTAATCCAAAAAAAGTAAAAACAATTCTGGAAATATTATTTTCCGAAAAAATAATTTTGATTTTAAAAAAAAAAAATACAAAATCAACACTTATTCCGAAAAAAGTAAAAAATATTCTGGAAAAATTATTTTCCGAAAAACTAATTTTGAATTTTAAAAAAATTACAAAATCAACACTTATTCCGAAAAAAGTAAAAAAAAATCCGGAAAAATAATTTTCCGAAAACATATTTTTTCCGAAAATATTTTACTTTTTTTCGTAATAAGTGTTGATTTTGTATTTTAATAAAAATTTTCGAAATAAATAATTTTTCGGAAAGTGTTGATTTTGTGGTCCAAATGCCATTAAACCATTATTTTTCCGAAAATAATTTTTTCGAAAATAATTTTTCCGGAATTGTTTTTACTTTTTTCGGAATAAGTGTTATTTTTGTATTTTTTAAAAAAATTCGGAAAAATATTTTTTTCGGAAATTATTTTTTCAGAAAATAATTTTTCAAGATTTTTTTTTACTTTTTTCGGAATAAGTGTTGATTTTGTATTTTAAAAAAAATTTCGAAAAAATAATTTTGCCATGTTGGATTGCTTAGGTGGATGGCCATGTAAGCAAATCTAACCCAGTTGGACTGTCATGTCACCTTTAATGACAAGACTAACAGTTTAAGGGTATTTGTAGTCCAAAAAATAGACGGCAAGGATATTTTTGGTACCAAAAACAAATGGAGGGTATTTTTGAGCTATTTCAGATTAGTTCAAGGGCATTTTTGGCAATTTTCCTATGTGCCATTAAAGGGAACGACGAGATCGAATCTGTATTATCAAAAACATTTGGTGAAACCCTGTCAAAGGGAGCAATGATATGGTATCATAATTTACTGTCTAACTCTATCGATTCTTTTGCTATGCTTGCAGATTCTTTCGTAAAAGCACATGCTGGAGCCATAAAGGTCGAGACCAGGAAGCCGAACCTTTTCAAGGTAAGATAAAAGATAACGAGATGCTAAGAGAATTCGTATCTCGTTTCCAAATGGAACATTAAGGCATCTACACACTCCCTTATTGAAAAGATTGTTAATATTCATATATAGATACAGGAGAAATTATCCTTTTGTGAGCCTTGTACATTGATTCATTTTGCTTATCCGTAAATTATTTTCTACTTAGTTTGGTTTGTATTTCATTCCTTTTTTTACAGTCAATATTCGATATTTTTCTACATACTTTTCCGATTTGTACCAAGCTATACCACGTATCCTTAGAACTACGTATAAATTCAACTCTATCCGTTTTTCGGGTAAGCAGTTTGACAGATTTACCGCCAGTCATAGACGATTGGGCTGTTCAAGCTTTCACTCAAGGTCTAAAATAACGAAGCTCGGTGGCTTCAAGGCAGTTGAAGCAGAACCTGATCGAGTACCCAGCTATCACCTGGGTCGATGTAAACAATCGGTATCAATCGAAGATCAGAGTTGAAGACGACCAGTTGGGTTCTGGGTCCGTTATTAAAAGGGGCATCAACCGAAAATCAAGGCCGATCAGGGACCGATACCACATGTATAATGAAGATCATAGGGGTAACGAACCAAGACGTAACCCCGTACAAAGCGATAAAAGAGGTGATCGAGGCCAAGGGTCTCGGGGGTTGATGAATAGGAACAGGTTCGACAGGCATACCGGACCTAAGGAAGCACCACGGTTATCGGAATATAACTTCAACATTGATGCATCCGCCATCGTATCGACTATCGGACGCATCATAGATACTAAATGACCTCGACCTCTGCAGACCGATCCTGCCCAGAGGAATCCCAATCAAATGTGCGAATACCATGGCACTCATGGCTAGAGAATGGAAGATTGCAGGCAACTGGGAGAGGAGGTAGCCCGGTTATTCAATAAAGGGCACCTTCGAGAATTTTTAAGTGACCGGGCCAAAAACCATTTCAAAAACCATTTTAAAAATAGGGATTTCAGTAGACAAAACGAACAAGAAGAACCACAACATATCATCCATATGATCATTGGTGGGGTCGATACCCCCAGGGGTCGGTGCTTAAATGCACTAAGATGTCGATTGTAAGAGAGAAACGATCCCAGACTCAAGATTATACACCCATAGGAACCTTGTCCTTTAATGATGAAGATGCAGAAGGAGTCATGCGACCCCACAACGATGCACTGGTAATATCTGTACTTATGAATAAAACTCAAGTTAAGCGTGTGTTAATTGACCCAGGTAGTTCGGCCAACATTATTAGATCGAAGGTCGTAGAGCAGCTCGGTCTGCAGGATCAAGTCATGCCCGCAACCCTGGTTCTAAATGGATTCAATATGTCATGTGAAACTACTAAGGGCGAGATAATTCTGCCAATAAACGTGGCCGGAACCATCCAAGAAATGAAGTTTCACGTAATCGAAGGCGACATGAGCAATAACGCCCTTTTTGGAAGACCGTGGATCCACAATATGAGAGTTGTACCCTCGACCCTCCACCAGGTTCTGAAATTCCCAACATCAGAGGGAGTCAAAATGGTCTATAGAGAGCAACCGGCCGCGAAAGAGATGTTTGTCGTCGATGAAGTAATTCTGATATCTTCACTATCATCGACAAAAGGATCAGATTCAAAGGGGAAACGGAATACCAAATAGCAATCACAAACGTCAGCTTCGACCCAACTAGAGAATCAGAAGACCGACGAAGATGATGAACATGGGATCCCTCGATCCTTCGTGGTCCCCTATGATTCCGATGCTACCCATTCAATGGTTGAAGAACTGGAGAAAATCACGTTAATCAAACATCTGCCCAAACGAAAGGTATACCTGGGCACGGGGTTAAATCCCGAGCTCATGAAAAAGCTTATTCAATTTTTTATATCTAACATGAACTATTTTGCTTGGTCCCAACTCGACATAACAAGGATCCCACCGGAGATAGCCACTTATAGACTAAGCTTGGATCCAAAATTTCATCCGATAAAACAAAAAAGAAGGCCTTAGTCCGAGGTCAAACATGCCTTCATCAAAGACGAGGTAACCAAACTTCTTAAAATAGGATCCATTCGGGAAGTAAAATACCCCGAATGGCTAGCAAATATGGTGGTAGTCCCTAAAAGGGGGAACAAACTTAGAATGTGCATAGATTATAAAGACCTGAATAAAGCATGCCCTAAGGATTCTTTTCCTTTGCCTAAATAAGAAACGCTTTGCAAAGTCAACAAAGACGTGGGAAAGAAGCTTACCATGTGTTTTGGCCTCCCATGGACCTTTGATAAATCGCGCCACGAGCACTCGGCATATGTAGAGGTCGAGGCTAGGTCCCGTACCCAACTCTTAAGGTTAGGAATTGCACC